CCGCGCTTTAAACGTAAGGAAATCAAACAGTAACTTTTATACTTAGGCATTTTAATGGACAATGAAGTTTTTTAATCATATTCTTTCACGTTTAAACGCAATAATAATTGCGTTTAAACGCAATAGAAATACTTCTATCTCTGAAATTGCCTCAACAGGCTTCCATAGTAGGATGTTAGCTTTTCAATCATTATTTCTTCTTCAGCCTTTTATTTTTAAAATCCTTTAAAATTTTTTGCATGTTTTAAATCACTATCTATTTTGAACAGATTTCAGATAATAATGAAATATAAATAGTTTTCTCTCAGATCATGTCATTTCTCATTTCTTTTCTAGTGCTGGAAAGAAATACCATTTGATTTTAAGATAAATGCCATGAATTGTGTGAAGTAATTTTCATATGACTAAATATTCTCTAAGAGCACAAAAATACTTTTCTTTAAGGAAGGTCCCTGTATATTTCATGATCCAAGGTGAGTTTAATATCCTTGGTCCTCCATCCATGTCCTTTGTCTTTAACGGGTCGGAGAGAATACTCGATATCGGGTATTATCCGTGAAATCGCGTATAATACTTGATATTAGGGTATCGTTGAATCCACGAAATCGGGTATAGGAGGTGTAATCACTTTATAAAACTTAAACAATGAGATGGCGCATGTTGTCGAGTTAACTTTCATCTAGATACACATGGTATCACTAGCCAAGTAAGAATTTGGGCGTCAAGATTAATGCGCTCGGGACAACAAATACCCGTGGAGCTCAGTACATTTCATGATCTGCACACAAAAAGGCGTTCGATTTGCTTTATATTTTTCTTTATGTTGAAAGTATATGCATCTTCCTAATGTTCATTTCCAACACAACAGAATTGTAAAGTATCAGAATTCGGGAATTTATAATAATTCCACATCAACACGACAAAAATGAACAATTTGTAAATAAATCAAATTATACGGAAACACATTTCACACACCAGATATGATGCAATATATAAACAAGGGATTGTCTATCCTATCTAATTATGCGTCATTAATTACTTTCACATTCATCTTGTGCATAAAATCAAATTTAATTATGAATGTATAAATAATGTAATGATAAAAATGTCTAAAATTTCGGCTAAAAGAACCCTCTTTCTCTATTTTTTTTTTTTTGAAAATCTTTTCTTTTTCATTTATCATTCAAACATATTTGCAAAATATGTCTTCAACATTTTAGCAGATACAGTGATAGTTTCAGGAATACAGCTTATGAGAGAACATAACTGTTGATCGTTTAATTTCGCTAAGTCATCAATATTTTACCATTTCTTGGCGACTTCAAAAAAAGGGGGGGGGCTAAAGGCTTCCTGACCACCTCTGACAAAACAACCTCGACTGTGTTCTACATGTGTCCAAGAGACCTCTCTTTGAATGTCACGGTCGGTTAAACTCGTTCATATATTTTTAATCGTAGGGAAGATTTATTCATCAAATAAAAATCATATACATTGTAGGTAAACAAAAAGCAGCCTGTTATTTTCTAACACAATATAAGACCACAAGTAACTAGAATTCATGTTTATTTTTAAACACATTTTTTCATTATAGATGAGTATTAGGAAAAATTATTGCCATGAGTGATACGTATCATAGATAAAATAACTAAAAGAAAACTGTGACATATTGTATACCAATCAAATAGTGCGTTGTATAAGCATATTATAATGAGGTATTAGACAGCGATATTAAAAAAAATATAGAAGGTAAAGAGGTAAAATTTACCCTGTCTGTCAAATAGTAAAATAAAAAAGGAAGTGGCCACGATTTTTATGAAATTTTAATGTGCGATGAGGAATTATATTCCCAAAAAGTAAGACAAGAATTTCCAAGTCAATTGAACACTCCATTATTTCAGTTTGTTCATTAACATGTTCATAAACGTAAAAACTATAAGAAATGTGAAAACTTGACTATGTAATTCATATTTCAATATGACTGTACCTCGATCTATATTGATAAAATCACTGTATTATAAGCTCATAAAAAGATGTACACATTTGACTTTTATTTAACCCCCCCCCCCTTTCCAAAAAAAAAAATAAAATCCTGTTCATATGACTTCTCGCTCTCAATTTTCACACAAATGCATAAAATGAAGGTAAAATAGCATATATTGTATCGATTAAAATGCAACCAAAACATTTACGGTGTCTTTGAATAAAAATTTCATGCTAAATTGACATAAAAAAAAGATACTCACCTTCAATTAGCTATTTTCAAACTCTTTTCCCGTGGGTATCTATTTAATCTTATTTTATTTTCTTCTTAATATTAACGTTGGTATTCTATTATTTCAGAGATATACAATTATGACTCCCTTATACTGTACTCTCTAACTGTTAGGAATAATTTATTTTTCACGAGAAAGGGACGCCATACATTTTTCAGTAAAAATACATAACAAGGCTTTAGTCGTTTAATTTTTTTAAAATTTCACGTTTTGTGAATAGTGCCCAAATTAAAAAAATTTAGTATATGTAATATATTAATGGGAAATAAAGACAAACGAAGTGTAGTTCTTTGTTTTTAGAGATTATACTGAAAAATAATAACGCCATTGTGTCCTCTTTGTTACCCCAGCAGTGTTTGTCGTGTGATTTTAAACTTATTTGTCAACCGTTTGAATTAGGTTTAATAAAAATAAATCCACAAGATAACGATGTACACGTAACAGTTACTGGCATAATGCGCCGTTGCTTTATTCTTTAGTTTTTATAGAAAGTTGCAAGGAATACCCGATTTCGCGGATTCAACGATACCCTAATATCGAGTATTATACGTGATTTCACGGATAATACCCGATTTCGAGTATTCTCTCCGACCTGTTTAAGCATCCATTGTTCGATAGCCAAATTTCCATTAGATCATTTGAATAAAAAAAACTCCTATACCCCGCCTTATCGATCATGAATTCTTTTTATTTTAAGGCAAAAATATTTAACTGGCTCTAGATAATGCAAAACCGACAAATATGTTCTTTTCTTAAATGGATATTCCAGCGAAATCAGATATAATATTTTGATTACATTATAAAGCATCCACTGGTATACATACATTGTAGTAGTTCAAAGTACATGGTATTTCTTTAATAAAATTTTGTCCAATTTCTAAATTAATTTGATTTTCAAAAAATAATTGAGCTGAAGGTTAAACCCAACGTATTAAGCAAAATAGCTCCAGGTAGGAAAGTATTAAATTTTTCTTTATTCTCGAGTACATGCATAAAGATACATCATCTGTTCATATAGTAATCAGATATTTTTTAGAAAGAAGTGAACCCTCTACCTTATTATTACTAATGAATGCTCTGTTCACACGAAGAGTTTAATATGAATTAAATTTGAATCGTGTTCACAAGGAAAATTTAATGCAAATTAGTTTAATTTGAATTAATTTATTATGCATCAAATTACTTCGGATAAGCTCCATGTGAACGCTAAGGAAAGCCAATTCGAATTAAATTTTGAGGCATCTCTAAGGCTAGAATTCAGTCATTTGACACATGTTGTTGGTTAGATATAGGTATCTCTGCTACATATTTGGTTCAAAAATCAAGAAAAAGTATGTTGATCGAGTAAAGCGACTACATGATTATTATATCGATCGCTCTGCATACATGATGTCATTTACAAATGACGTCATAAAAGCCTGATTCGTAGAACTAATATTTCATTTTGCATTAGTTTATTTCGCTTTAGCTGTCGTGTGAAAGCAATTTAATTCGCATTAATTTAATGTGTAATCAATCGTCACCAGTGTAGGCGGACGCATGCTATACTGCACACTCGGAGAAGACAAAAATAACTGTTCACATCTTCTTATTCAGAAGAGTAAGAAAACATTTATCAAAGAAACTTACAATATTTCCATAGGTCAGTGCAGTATACAAACAAAATAAAATACACGTTAACTTCGGAATTCAATTAAATGTAAAGGTAATGTAAGATAACCCGTACGAACAGGGGTTACCATTCCACACCGATACCCCTGACAATAAAGCGGTTAGGTGTTACAAATGCATAGAGGATATATATAGCCCGTTGCTACTCGTAAATAGTAATATTCCAAATGGCCTAGGTTTATTTACGAGTCATTTCAGCTTTAAATTCAAATGTGAACCAGTTTAAATTTCCGGAATTTTAAAGGTTTATCTAAACATGTTCTTTTCATTGACAATATCTTTTTATGACAAAACTTTCAAGGCATAAATATCAAAAGCATATGCATACTAGTATACAATAATCATAGATTAATTTAGCCATATATCGGTATAATATTTCAAATCTTAAAATGGATACGAAAAGGGTCTTCAAAATAACATACTTTAGTGTGCTTATTCTTTATCTTGCTTGAACAATAAAAATAATCTTTTTCCACTTATAGAACTTTTCAACTGAAAAAGAAAATCAATTGCTGAATTATTATATTAAATGACTCTCTTATCTTTCCAGTCCGGGAAATAAGAAATTAAAATTAATCCAATCGTAGCTACATATACTTCCATTTATTAATTTAAGCAGAACTGTTACAAAACGTATAAACGATTGATATTGAAACGCGTTCAATAATGTACGAGATAATTATCTTTTAAGGACTAAGCTCACATACGAACGGGATTCTAGCATCACAGCGCTTATCATTCCATGAATACAATGCCCTCTTTTCGGCACAGTATTCCACATTTCCACTATTGCTGGGTTGGTTTTTATACCAATTTGTACATGTCTTTTTTCTTCCAGTCAAAATTGAGACATATTCATTTTCCTTGAGTAAATCTGTCAATCCAATCCATGCATTTTGAAAACCTAACTGACAGATTTTTTTTTTAAATCATGGAAACAATGCATTTTTCAACTACTAGACAAATGTACTTCAAAGCAATAACAAAATGTACCTTGTATCTTAAACTGCAGATCAAGCCATTTGTCCATGTGATGCATTAAAAAAGCAAAACTTTAAAGGGATTCCGATAAAACCAGTCAATTTAAAATTTACTAAAAGATCTGTGTACATTTTCTTTCCCTTGGTCCACTTACCACTGCCTCTTTAAACGTAGTTGTAAAGCTTGAAAAAAGATAGCAGGTTTCCTCAAACTTGATCCATCCTTTTCACATTCTATGGCAAGAAAATTAAAAGTAGCAAAAATAAAATCAACAAGGATCGGTATAATCTTATTAATCGGAACGCATGAACAAAATCAACAGGTGTCATGCAAAAATTCTACATTCGTCAATTTTCCCCTTCGTGTTTCACTGTGTCTCTTAAAAACGTTTCCAAAAAGGCTTGATCGCAAAATTAATTGTGGAGAATAAGTTTGCCCCTAGTAACTCGCGAAATAAAGTTGTAGCGAATAAAAGTTTGTAAACAGTACTGTAAACATTACCAGTATATTAAATGAAACATATGGAGATAGCGAACAGTATTCAAGATCAAAGTCCATAAACAATACAAAATAATAAGAGAGCAAACACGGACTCCAAAATATGGAGATAGGATCAGGTGCCATGGAGGAGTGAGCATCTCCTGCCAACCGATAACACCCGTCTTGTGCTCCCTGTCATGATCGGGAAATAATGGGAAAATCCGTCCTCAATTCAGATTATAATGACTGACTGATTGATTGTATGTTGGTTAACGTCCCTGTCGAGAATTTTTCACTCATATGGAGACGTCACCACTTGCCGGTAGAGAGCTACAAACATTGTCCCGTACTCGGCACTCGGGGTCATTGAGCAGTGAGGGATCTTTTTCGTGACAGCACCTACTGCGACACGAGACCTCGATTAATACAATCTCATCAAAAGGACCGGTCACCACCTCCCACAGTGGAATTCGAATCCGCACCGTAAGGATTGACTCCTTTTTTCGCGGCTCCAGAGCAGTTCAGATTCAGATTATGAATACTTACAATTAGTATGAAAAACGTCAGTAAGCATTTGACTCAATGACAATTTTTTTTTGCTAACAAGGTCATTGTATCGACAATAGAACTTACAACTGATGAAACGAGACTGCTGAAATTTTTGTTTCATCAACTTGTTTGTCAATAATTTACCTTGTTTTAGAAACTGTTCATGCGTAGAGCATGTATAAGTAAGGGAAGTTGACGATTTAAAAGTTAAAGTCATCTCGTTTTTCATAGAAATTGGTTGTTAGATTACCATTAATTTTTTTTTTCAAGTAAAGAAATCCTAATATTAACAAATGTGTCTTTATGGTGTTTTTGATTTCAAATTCCCAAAAAAGTATAAACATATGAATGAAAATTTCCATTAATTTTTGACAATACATCGTCGATATATCTTAATGTCGAGTTGAAAGAAAAGTGGTTTTTTTAACATATAGTAAAACACGGTTACAACGAAGTCACTAGTTTTTATGAAATTACTTCGCTTTATCCGTAAATCGTTATATCCGTATAAGATTTTGGAAAAGTCTGCTTTACATTAATTCAAATAAAACAAAGGTCTATAATAACTGGGCGCAATCGGTACTCATTAAAATTCCATTAGATTTTATGAAGACTTGGTCACCACGTAGGCAATCCATGAGGTTCTGCTTGGTCGATACGCTTTAATGTAGTGTCGATATATTTATGGATTTACCAAATGAAAGGGCTATGTTTGTTATTTTATTTTTTAACGTTGAAAATAAAAGAAACACAATGGTATCTTTGATCTCAAATTCACCAATATATATCTACATAAGAATGGAAATTTCCATTAATTTTTGACAATACGTCGTCGTTAATCTTAATGTCGAGTCGAAAGCCAAGTGCTTTTTTTACATACAGTAAAACAAGGTTATAACGAAGTTACTAGTTTTTTTGAAATTACTTCGCTTTATCGGTAATTTGTTACAATGTATATCCGACCGCTCACGGTAGCTCAGTCGGTAGAGCGCTCGCTTCGTGATCGGGAGGTCGTGAGTTCGTATCTCGGCCGCGACTGACCAAGTCGTTAAAATAGATAGCAACTGTTCCTTCGCCATGCGCTCGGCACTTTGAAGTGAAAGTTGCGGGTCCTTCGGAGGAGACCTTAAAAACCGAGGCCCCGTGTCAGCGGCAGGCATTGGCACGATAAAGATCCTTCACTGCTCAATGGCCCTGAGTGCCGAGTAAAGGTCAAAATTTGAAGCACTTCACCGGCATACGGTGACGTCTCCATATGAGTGAAAAATTCTCGAGAGGGACGTTAAACAATATACAATCAATCAATCAATGTATATCCGTATACAATTTTGGAAAAAAGCTGCTTTATATTAATTCAAATTAAACAAAGGTCTATAATAACGAAGCGCAATCGGTACTCATTAAAATTTCAGTAGATTGTTGGAAGACTTGGTCACCACGTAGGCAATTCATGAGGTCGTGCTTGGTCGATAAGCTTTAATGTAGTGTCGATATATTTATGGATTGACCAAATGAGAGGGCTATATTTGTTACATTATTTTTTAACGTTGAAAATAAAAGACACAATTTTCTCTGACATCTTTTTAACACCGACTTATAAATATAAAAAGACGATATTAAGGGGAGAAGGACACATTTCACATGACTTAAAAGACATATCACGTCATAATCGGTGATAATATACATGTTAAACGTTGTTAAAATCAACAGTTCTTGTGTAATTTTATGCTAAATTCTAAAATTATTTTTAAACATTTAATTTTAGAAATTATCATTAATAATTTTTTTAAAGATCTTGCCATCATTTTGATATACACTTGAGAAGTTGCCCAATCCACATATTTGTTTCTCTTTACCCTGCAGTCTGACGTCAGTGACGTCATAGACGTAGTTTTTGAATTCTCAGTGCAGTGAGATCAAGTACACACACCCGTCATGATCAGTTTTATTTCATAATAAACAGGTCACAGTCAATGTATAGTGATAAATTTCGGAAGCAGATTTTTTAAATTTAATATTTTTTTCGTGTTTAGTAGCAGATATTCTCTCTATTTAGATAATTTCAAATGTTTGTATTTTCATGTGACGTCAAAATTGATTTCCCGCAATCGGAAAAAAAACAACGTGAAGCGTTTTTATCATGCTTACGTCTAATTCAACGATGTCCTGTGCGATATTGAGGTTAGCTTCACCCTGTGATATTTATGCAGTAAATAATTACGATAAGGACTGACATTCAATCCTAAATTTAGAAATATTTATTGACAGATTTTTTTTCCAAATGAGGTGTTTGTCGTTGAAGCTGCCTTCAAAAATGCAGAAATGATCCCACTCAAATACTATACGAAATTAAAACAATGTCTTTCAGATAATTTAAACACTATTAATATATTATCAAATACTTGAGTATATAGTGTTATCCATCATATTTATCGTTTGTGAGTAAAAATTCGCATTATGGACTCCGTTATGGGCCCGTAAACATGAAGTATCTAAACTCCAAACAAAGTCTAAACAGGGCGGTATATGTGAGGCGATATCTTTTAAATAAGTCAAGAAATCCCATGACAAGACCGTTTTAAAATGTTAAGTAAATATTAAATTAGTAATATAAAATATATGAAAAAAATATTGACAGGAATTTTCTTAGCTAAAGGTCCTCTTCCTCCTTGATTTGTAATATGTTTCCTTTAAATTAAGGATAGGCAATGTAATAAATCAAAAGATATTTTTTTTTATTATTATTATTATGATTTATGGAAAGCAATTTAATACATGTATATTTGACTTTAAAGTAGATTTTATTCAATTGTTACATCCGACCATATTACAAAACATCATTATTATAAAAAAGTTAACTTTAATTCCTTTTCTTTAAACATTAAGTAAATACATGTATAACCTATAAGTGTTTTGAAGTAAGAACTTTTGCTATTTTGTAGAAGATTACAGTGAAAACTGTCTAATCCGACACCTGAATAATCCGACACACTGTGAAATCCGACGTTAAATTTCTTGCCTATTTTAGTATTTTCTTTGTATTTAACACTGTGCAATCCGACACCCTGTCTATTCCCACACAAATTTGGTCTCCCAGTGCATGTCGGATTGGTCAGGTTTCACTGTATTTCCATTCTTTAAGAAAACTTCATGCAAGTTTGTTTTTCTAGAATCTATATATAGTAACACCAGAATGTTTGCTGTTATATACTTTATCATATAATCAAGTTTTAGCGAACTGGAGAGCTTAGAATAATAGAGAGAAAAAATATTCCAATCTTTTGCATATCCTCGAATGTCCTTGTTTTTCTTGTTATATATAGGGAAAAACAGATTCAAATAGAATATCATTCTGTATTTTTTACTTGACTAGATTGGCAGCTGATTGGTCTTATCGATAGATTTTTTTAATTATCTTAAGTTTACACTCTTATCATTTAAGCAATTCACTTTAAACTTTAAGAAGGAACTTCTTCTATTTTCTTTCTATAAACAGAATTACTTAAATTAGCATTTCCAGCAATACCATTATTAAATGATTGCCTTTAACTATAGAAGTTCGGTTACTAAGTACATGTATGTACGAAACAATGAATTTGAACGTACAGTCTAAATAGCACTGACGTAACGCATTTACATTCCCTATTGGAAAATAACTAACTTACCTTTGACATCTGTGGCTTTTTGATGATGATTTTCTTTTGATTTATTCAAAGACTCCAAAAGACTCTGCAAACCGTTTTCCATCGACAAAAGACGCTCAATTACATGAGCGGATTTTCTTCCATTCATCAAACTTTGATTGAAAAGCATAGATCTCTTGCAGCAGTATGTCATATTTCTGATTAAGAGCGAATGATTCATTTTTAAGAGCGTTCAGATCTTTCTTCATTAAGAATACTAACTGTTTATTTATATCCAGTTCTGTAACGATAGCGTTTGAAATTCATTTTCTAGAAATACAGTTTTCCTCTTTAGATATAAAATTTCCGAATCAATTAGGCTTTGGACGTTTGAACTTTCCATGGTTGTATAATTACTGAGTATTAAATAAAGATCCTTTATCTTTTCTTTGAGTCATATGTAAAACACACTTAAACACTACAAAAAAACAACGCTTAAAAACAATGCGCCAGCAGTACTAATGAAATAAAAAAATATCGTAGGATTACAAGCTAAATAACTTTTAAAAAATAAGTAATATTCGACATTTTATTCGTATTGATGATTGATATGCAAGAATGCTCACTCCTCCCTGGCACCTGATCACACTTCTGATATTTACGACGTCTCTGTTTGCTCTGCTTCTCTTTTGTATTGTTTTATGGATTTTTGATCTTGAATATTGTTTTTTATCTCCATATGTTTAATCGTTATGTTCAGGTAGTCTTTGCTTGTTCAACTATCTGACTAAGGATTACCCCGTATACCTGATCAACACCTAGAGCTCACAATGGGTGTGGCTGCTCTGTATGGGATGCTTATTCCTCCAAGACACCTGATTACACCTCTCGTGTTTGAACATGTCTCTGTTTTTACTCTACCCTTGGCTCTTTTTGATGAATGGTTTACGAGATTAATCGCTGTGCGTTATCTTCATCCTGACGTCATTCAAATCAGACGATTGTGCTCTCTGTTTATTAATTTCGTAAGATTTTCATTTCTTATAAGAATCATCAGTAGTATCCCATTTCACAATTAAAAGATGCATAAATGTATGTGCAGGTATCTTTGCCAACTACACAATATTTGAATTAATAGGTGTATTTTTATCATTCCTTTCCTTTAAATTGTTTGAAGTTCAAGTTTGAAGCTAAAAAATTGTTTTTATCTCATACAACTTTTATGAAAAAGAAGCCAATTATGATTTTCCACACCATGACACTTCTATCTTTCTCCCTCTCTCTATCAAATCTATAAAACTATCATTCCGTCATATTCATCTTTCTAACTATCGTGAATAGACATAAAACAAAGGTAGACTCGTTTCTTTCATAGCAAGAAAAATAACCCATCGCCACATTACTCTCTCAACTGTAATTTTTACTTCAATCCATTATAATTTCTCAGAAAATCCTGTAATCAAATGTTATGCAGTTACATATGTTTGGGAAGGAAAGATAAAGTGTTGAGCTGAGCATTCTTCTGAATGTAAATGTACCTCCCATCTCCTCGTTCTTGATATGGGTAAACCAATTCATCAGTTTTCGACAGAAATATGACAATTTTACGCTACATGAATATGACATAATATGTTTCTAAAATGAAAGTCTACATTTTTTGCATTTTATACAATGGCATATTTTTTTCAAAGCGCATTAATTATCTCAAATGTAAAAAAAAATGTTGATATTCACTCTGATCGTACTTTGATTTTTTCCATAGTGCGTTGATTTGACCAGTACCATATTTAATGCATTGTGATTTTTTTTTTAAAGTGACTTGATTCTGTCCCAATTGTAATGCAACTTGAAATATTTTTTAAGTGCGTTATTTTTTCAAGGTGTCTTGTCACATTGGTTTCTTAATTCTGTTTCAGTGAATTATACCACATCAATTTGTGAATGATTGACTGATTGATTGTATACTGTTTAACGTCCCTCTACAGAATATTTCACTGATATGGAGACGTCACCATTGCCGGTGAAGGGCTGAAAATTTAGGCCTATGCTCAGCATTTGCGGCCTTTGAGCAGGGAGGGCTCTTTATCGTGCCACACCTGTTGTGACACGGTGCCTCGGTTTATACGGTGTCATCCGAAGGACTGCCCCATTTAATCACCTTTTATGACAAGCAAGGGGGTACTGAGGACCTATTCTAACCCAGATCCCCACGGGGTAATTTGTAAATGAAAATTTAAGTGATAAAAGCAAGATATTTTCCTTCCATTTAATCTTTTTGATAAATAGAAATATCTTTTTATTTTAAATGCGCTACCCACAAGTGCATCTAATCAAAGAAAATATCTAACTATATTGCAATTTTGCATTTAATTTTTATTCTTCCCAAACTTGCAGAATACGCTCTTCTTCTAATAAATTTAGAACACTTCTTCTTTTATATAAGTTCAAAGCTCTTTGCACAGACGAGAAAATATCATATCTAAATAGGACTCCGTTTGCCATAGAGAATCAATAATGCATTTTAATGTCAAATTTGAATACAGCATTGAAAAAAAATAAAACATCCATCCGCACTTTTGTTTAATCAAGATAAAAATTAACAAGCTTATTCTGCATTGATAAAGGTTAGTCATTTTCTACAATGATACTGATTGCGATTTGGTATCAGCTGGAATATACACATATACAGTTTAATATGCAATTAATGCCATGAATTTTGATGCTACGCATTTGTCCTTTTGCGTATAGAACACACGTCAATAGAAAACTTATTGATAAGGTAGAAGGTAATGTTTTTAAGGTCTCATCTCACAAACAAAGGGTAGTTTTGTGTCACAGCGTTTATCGTTCCATTTTAACCCAGTACTCCACTTCTCAACACAGTGTTCCACACTCCCAGAATTGTTGGGCTCGTTCTTGTGCCAATTCGTGTATGTTGTTTTACTTCCAGTTGAAATAAGGACAAAGCTACCTTGATTGAGCATATCTGTCAATCCTATCCAGGCATTTTTATATCCTAAAAAAAGATACTTGAAAAATATCACTGAATTTTTTTTTTATCTACCTGATAAAAAAAAAAATGTTTTTTGCAATATATACCTCGAATCGTCAGCTGCAGATCTATCCATTTTTCTACATGTGAACTTTTAATTTCAAGGAGTTGAGCACCAGCCGCGGCTTTGTTACAAAAATCCTGTAAAAATAGATACAAAAATTAAAAAAAAAAACGAAATCATTAAAAAATATTGAGATATTTCAGTGATATTAAAAAGTTATTAGAAATCCAATATTCTATCAAGTGTATATATTCTCTCTGTGATCCACCTACCATTGCATCTGTAAAATTTTTATTCATGCTAATAAAAAGATAGCAGTTTTCCTCAAATTTGACCCAACTCTTTTCACAATTTGTGACATGGAAGTCGTACTCTGTAAAAAAAACATGTGAATATAAATAACAATTCAGCATTATTTTGTAATCACATGCATTTCTAAGTAAACCAATGGTAGGGCAAATAAAATTATATTATGCTATTTAAAATAGGAATTAAAGCAAACAAACGGAAAGGTTTTGGTTAAAAAATTGATTTAATACGGCTTACTTGGAAAATTTATTGAATATAGTCTTAAAGGATCTGGTATAACGCACTTTAGTGTAACGCACGTTAGGACAATTTGTAGGCAGTTTTAATGTTTAAGGACATTAGATGTAAACTTTAAGAAATTGTAATTTACTGTTAATTATATAATTTATATTAGATTAAATATCTTTAACATTATATAAGACCAAGGGTAAGAAATATTATTAATTATTTTACCCCCAGCTTGAAAAGCAAGAGGGTATATAGTAATCGTTAATTCCGTCCGTCCGTCTGTTACGCTTTGGGGTACCCATCTCTTATCCGCAACTCCTCTTATACCACTGAATGAAATTTGATGAAACTTTCACAGAATCTTTATTACATATTGCCATTGTGAACCTCCTACTTTACTTTTTGTTCCGAAACATATTTTGGGTTTCCCATAGAAAAACATAGACACTGCCATTTATACGCATATGGGTGGCGGGGGTATCATTTAGTGAGCTCATTGCTCACAGTATCTCTAGTTTTCTTTAATGTTCCCAATGTATACGTAAACAATTTTGATTTCTCCTCACAAATATTCAATGTCTATGAATATTTTTTCCTGCGCAAATAAGGCACATACCCAATGTTCTAAATGAATGAAAAAGTCTCAATATGCGTATATTAATATTATATTTTTTTCTGAGTCCAAAAATCAGTTTCTGTTTGGGTTTAGAGCTTCCTTTAATTCATCAAAAAAAAAAAAAGAAAGAAATATCAAATATGCATTTGGTTTGATACAATAAACGATGACGATAACGAAAGTTAATCAACCTAAAAAGTCCATTAAAAAATACAAATTTCAAGCAGAGTAAACGCGTCCCTCTAAAACAAGGTGGGATCAGGTGTCATGAATCGAATTTACCTTTTTTGTCATATATTTGTATTCGTTTTTCCACATTATCCAAGCTCTTTTCTACAACTTCAACTCGCTTGCTTAGGTTTTCTATGGTCTTCTTTTCTGTTACGAATTCTTTATTGCCAGTAGCTTCCGAAAACTCCTCTAATGTATCTACTTTCGTTTTTAAGTGTTTATTTGTCAGTCTAATGATCGATAACTCTTCATTACGTTTCTTCACTTCCTTGTAAATATCACTCAATCTCTCCTCGAAAATGTAAGCTGCTCCGAAAACAAATGCTATTACAAGTCCTGCAATACAATGTTTAATTGAATCCATTGCAATAATAGAAATATTTATCTGCTAAAACACTGTGAACAGTAATCACGGTATATCTTTCCCCACACAACGTGAATTTATGATTTAAAACAACTGAACCGTGCACCGCAGGGTTTTATTCAATTAAAACGTTTATGTAGAATTTAAAATCCTTGAAAAAAAACAATAATGTCCTCCTTGCCTTGCCTTATGATATAACCTTTCATTTATCATTCATTCATTACATTTTTTTAATCGTCGAAAACATACCAATTTCCAAATGTGATGATTTGGTCATCAATTAAGATATTTTAGTTTCACTGAAATGCATAAAAATCTCAGATTCGATAAGTGTGCGATGATGTTGATTTCTATTCTATTTGACAAGGGTCAAATTATGTTGGACAGTAATTGAATAAAATATTTTTCGTTTTTAACGTTGTAGGTAGAATTATGTTTCGTCTTATCCTATTTTTTATGTTAAAGTAGTCCTTCAATTATTCAACTATGCTTAAAATAGGAAAATGAACTTTGAATTTAATATTTAGTTTTAAAAAAAACGCTCGTGTAGCTGTTAAATTGTGTGATCGATAAAAAGGTATACCAGATATTATATTTATTGTGTGAAATTAATGCACATAGATTTTAAGAAACATAGGGATGGATCTTCTAAAATAAAATTATGCTTATGCACTAGTTTCAAATAGTTTCAACAAAGAAACACAGCCAAGGTCATACACGTGAGAGATGCATTTGCTTACTTGTTTGTTTTTTGTTTGGTTTGTGTTTACTTTTCAAAAATTATTCAATCGTGTACCTAGGAGCATTATAAGAAGATATATTATAGACAAGGTTTTATTAATATTCGTCGCGTGAAACTTGGTTGTAAAACTTAACGTACTCTGAAATCGTTTACGTCAGAGCACATTACAAATCGTAAAAAGTTTACACCACCATTGTTCCTCGAGTCAGATGTGCTTATTCATACACTGTACATGTGTAAAATTCGAAATAACGGAAGGATATAAGAATACATATAAAATATAAATAGAATAAAAAAAATAGACATGAATAAATCAAAAGAAAGTAAATGAATATAAATAAAGTGAACTAATGGAAAAATATGGAGATAACGAATAGTATTTAATCTCAAAGTCCAAACAATACAAAATAAGAGCAGAGCAAACACGGACCTCCGAAACATCCGAGGTGGGATCAAGTGCCATGGAGAAGTAAGCATCCCCTGCTGACCGGTCACACCTGCTCTTTGTCATGATCAGGAAATAACAGAAAATTCAGTCGTTAATTCAGTGTTTAAATAATGGACTAACAATTTGTATGAAAAACCTCAGTCAGCATTTGTCTCAATAGTAAATTGTATTTGCTGAGACGGTCATTGTATCGACCCTAGGAGTTACGAAATGATGACTTTAAAAGGGACGGCTGATATTCTTTTGTCATCAACTTGCTTGTCGATAATTTACCTCGTTTTAGAAATTGTTCTTACGTAGATCAAGCTCTTGTGTATCGAATTATCTGAGATATATTCACTCCGTATGCAGGTGACGAAGGTATATTGCTGAATAAGTAAGGGAAGTTGACGATAGAAAAGTCATTACGTTTATCAAATAGCTTGGTTGTTAGATTACCATTAATGTCTTTTTCGAGGAAAATATCCAAGTATGAAACAGATGTGTCTGACTCTGTGGTATCTTGTATCTCAAGCTCACCAGGATAAACATCGTATCGACGTAGAAATGGAAATCACCATTGTTAATTGACAATACGTTGTCGATATATCTAAATGTCGAGTTGTAGGCCACAGCAAGTTTTTCATGCATAAGATTTCGCACAATTCGGCTTCATATGAATATAAAAC